TAATTGAATCTGGAAGTCATCAATCTCAAGTCTTCTCAATGATTATGACATGTTCCATCTTCTCTTCATGAACTTTCATCTTATTTGCAATAGTTAGTGTCCAAGCAAAATACTCGTCCACATTTTCCCCTTCTTTCATCTGCAGCACCTCAAATTCTTTTCTTCAATCTTGCAATTGAGTTCTCTTAACTCGTGTTGACCTTTGGTATTTCTGCTTCATAGAGTCTCAAATGCTCTTCGAACTCTCCTTATCAAGGATTGTCTCCATGATAGTGCGATCAATGGCCTGAAAGAGGTATTTTTCACCTTTAGGTCCTTAGGTCGTTGTGCCTCCATTGTTTCCTTTTGTTCCTCTGTTGGCCCAGCTCCACCTTTTACTATGAGAACTCCTGACTCTATCAAGTGCCAATACTCTTTGGATCGGAAAAGATTCTCCATGCGCATAGCCCAATGGTCGTAGTGACCATCGAACTAAGGAATGACAGCTTGAACGTATTTCTCTATTGCCATCTCACTCTTTCTTTCCTCTTTTTTGATCCTCACAAAGTATTTCACTCGTTCTCACCAAGTGTTTCACTCCTTCTCTCTTGTTAGGATACTGCAGTTCCTAACTGCTCTCAATCAGGCCCCTATGTGGGGCTCTGATACCAATTTGTTGTACTCTCAAGCTCTAATCAAACAACACAAATAAACTAGGAGTTCAAAAATCTTGTTTATTCAATAATAGATACTATGGCTTTATACAAGCCTTAAAAAACAAAATTGCAAAAATAAAGCTACCACGTTTACATAGCCTAAAAACGTGGTCAATCTGTTACAGGAATGAATCAGACCTAAACTGTCCTAGAAACCAGGATATTATCAACAGACGCAATAACTAAGATGGACCAAGTCATATTGACTTAATCAACAAATCCAACAAAATAGATGTAGACTTTACTCATACAAATTATTTTCTCATGTTAATGTAATTTTGATTGAATTGCTATAATTTGTAGAGGATGTTTGTACAATTCTAATTTTAGTCCCTAGTGATTTATATGATGAAATTTTTTTATGATCTACTTATTATTTATTAAATATTGGTAAATGTAAATTTAATTACTTAATTTTAAAAATAAAAATAAAATTGAAACCTGAATGAAACGATTGATAATGAGTGATATAAAGAGATATATATTGATTAATACCTCATATTAATTGATCGCATGATATTTAATTACTAGCAATGGACCCGTGTCTGAAGGCACTGTATAACAAAAAAATCATTCACTTCATGTTCGTGCCCGAATGCACTACGTAAAAATTAAATTGCCAATAATTAGTAAAAAAATATTTATTTAAAGTTCGTCAATACTAATTGTATTTTCAAAATAAAGTCTCTTCTTAATAACTAAGGTGCAAGAAAAACCAAACTGTCTTACATTGGTTTTTTTTTTTTTTTTTTGGGGGGAGGGGGGGGGGGAATTGGTGTGAAGCAAAGGCATAAGAAATGAAAATAATGTTATCAATAATAAAAATATAGAATAATAATCACAACATGTTAGTCAGCCCTCTCTTATGAAGACCTCACCTTCATTACCAATCCAATTCCTGCACCATATTTACACTTGAGACTTCACTCCGACTCAGTCCACATGGCAACCCAACAGGGAAAGCCTGCATTGCATTGATTCCCACTTGGCCTAAAACAATGAAATTTCACTTAAATTTGGGCCAAAAAAAGAGAGAAATAATACAAAATTTATAACTTATAAGATATTCGAAAAGGGCTAATTCTTGGTTAAAAAATCAACAAAAGATGAAAGAAATTCAAATTTTGATATCTATATTCATCGATGTTCAATCCCCAAAAGTAAAGAATTAGAACAAAAATCAACTATTCCCAATGCAAATATGTAACATAAAGAAACTAAAACTTTCACTACAGATCAAAAAATTAAAATATATGTTTAAATTTATTCAAATATATGTTTCACAACAAATCTAAAATTAAAATATATCATGTATAAGCATGATCTATCATTAATAATAAAGCATATATCTCCTATGATCTCAAACTATATTTAATACCAAATTTTCATTAATCTAGTACTTTCTGTGAAACTTCCTCGTGGGTTTTAGGCCCCCCAAAAAGAGTTCCCTAGAAGGCATTTTTGTTTGTCACTTGTGAAATTTATACCATTTGTTGGTATAGCAATATGCTCTTGCATTAATAAAAAAAAGAGTTTATGAGAAAGTAACTGTTTCCATAACTCAAACATAAAATGCCGAAGTCACAATATATAATTGAGGTTGCATATGAGTTGGCATTGAGTGGAAGTGCATCAAATTTGGTCCTAGTGATTAAGGAATCGTTCATCTCTAAACATGATCTTTAAACACGAATTTCACAGATTGGGTTGTATTCTCTTCGTAAGAGTAGATTACATCAGTTGGCATTTATATCATTTTTAGTATCAATTGTTATGATTTATATTGAGTTTATTCTTAATCATGAATGTCATTGTATGGATAAAATTTGAACTTCTTAGCTGATTTATGATATAGATATCTTGATTCCAAAACAAAAATCAAAGTCAATATGAACATACATGAACCATAGAAAGGAAAAATAATTCACCGTCACATACATATCAATAGCTCATGAGAAGAGTCATCTGAAGAAGAAGTCTCTTGCCTTGATCTTCTTCGTTCAAGAGGAGGTGAGGAGGGCGATCTCTCAATCTTATAAATGTTTTACTCTTACACGTTTGGTCAATTAGGCTGCTTTGCTTGAGAAGTAGGGTATGCTAACAAAAAATATATTTCCTGGTAGATAGGGACCATGAGCAAATCACATGAACAAATCAAAGCATTAATGAATGTAAACTAATTTCATAAAATTATAACCAAATTTTAACTAACACAGCAACTCCCACTAAACTAATTCATAAATTGACATCATAAATGTTCAAAATCAAAAACCCATTGCACAATCCATGGCATCAACTATAAACCTTCGATCATCTATTGCACAATCCAAAAAATAAATAAGCATCAAATGTCAATCTAATAAACAAAAAATCAATGGTAGAGTATACAATATTTCTCTCAGACATTTCAACAAACACTTGGTGTGGAGTATGTAATAGCAACAAATTAAGACCAAATAAAATTATTTTCCCAAAATTTAACACCAAATATGTGCTCTGTGTGTGTGTTCAGCGTATGCGTAGTTGGGAGGAGGGGGGATAGCATAAAGGACAGGGGAAGGGAAGAGGGAGGGGGTTTCAACGTGAGTGTGGGTTTCTGCGATGACTGCCAGTGTGCTAATGAGCAAAAAAACAAACAGTTGGAGTGCACTAAAAAAATCAAACTTAACCGCTAAAATGGGTATGTGATGTGTGTGGATGTATGGGGGTGGGTGTTGTGATCAGAGAAATGGATTGTGTGTGTAGACGAAATATAGAGGGTTTGGGGAGGGGGTGTGTGTTCCGTCGAAAAATAGGAGGTTTCAGGGAGGGGTGTTTCGGTGGGTGGGTGGGTGTGAAATATAGAGGGTGTGTGTGTTTGGGGGGAGGTGAGAAACAGAGGGTTTGGGGAGCGGGGAGCGGGGTGCGTAGAGATGAGGAGGAAATATGAGGGGAGTGGAGGAAGGGGTGGGGGATCTATGTGTAGCAGAGTGAAATACCTAAGATAGTGACGATGGCACTGGCGTTGACGCTGTGGCAGCGAGGCCGGTGGAGTTGGATTGTGGCATTAGGGAGTGACATGAGAAAGAAGAGACTGAGCTGAGAGTAAAGAGGGAGGAGGTGAGAGAGAGAGAGAGAGAAGGGGGGGGGGGGGGGGGGGGGGTTTTTGCTTTG